TGTGAACTAGGTCAGTTCTGTGAGAATTGAGAAGGCTAAATTCTCTAGAGCACTCATGAATTACCAGGTGTTATTCAGGGCCAAAATGAACACAACCGTAAGAACCAAACTGTGTCTGCGGATACACTTTATGTAGTCTATTGTTTTGGCTTACACAAACAGCTAAATAGTTCAAGGCATCGCGTCCACTGGTTAGCTAGTAAGTCCGATAGGCTTTCACTAGAGAAGGTTCAAAACCAAAAACTACCTATATGGTGTATTTTCTTAATGTACTCTTTCTTTGTCTGCATTTTGTTGCATGTCTGGTATCGTAAATTCCATTCATGTGGGGGATTGTTGGAAAATGACTTTGAAAAAATCTTATTTTTTGCTAAAATTTAGCATTAATTAAGGTAGGACCCAAGCGTTATTTTTAACGTTTCTAATTGAGTTTATGTTTAATGTCATATAGTGAATAATATCGTGTATTTGGTTGCTCAAAACCATTTCTGGATGAAAGAGAATTCAACACGCATTTGGGTTTCCTACACATTTGTGAAATGTGTTTGTCCCACATAAGAAAGGCTTAAGGATTTATTTGAGTATATATACTCTAGCTTGACACACTTGGGATGGGTCCCAAGAGGCACCCCAAGTTTCATAGGGAAGAGAGTTATGGACAAAGTGGGCTTGGCCCAAAACCACCACGAGAGCACGCGCTGCCGCCGCCGTCCGTCCAACGAGCTGGGTCGGGTCGAATCCTAACTCTTTTTTTTTTTTTGGACAAAATTCGTTTGAATTTTTCAAAATTCTTGCTGGAAAATTTTTTTTCCTTACAGAAATAATTCAAATTTTGCGCCAAAATTTCAATTTCGAATTTTCGAATTTTTCCAGTCACCTCCTTTCCGAACCAGTGTTGTTCCGGTTGCACCTTTCCAGCCATGTCCGAACAGCCACCAAATCCAACCCGAACAGGTGCATGTCAGGCTATAAATAGCCTGCCATTCCAGTAATTCATTTCATCAAATTTTTTCTTTTCTTCTTATGTTCATCCTTCTATGCTCTTGCATCTGTCTACCATTTAGTTTCTAAGAAAAAGAAAAAGAGAGTTACAGCATTGTTTAGGTCGCCAAACTTGGGAAGTAGACACCGTTAAATCTCAAAACACCGAAACGAGTGTGAAATCTACTTTAAAGAGATTGTGTTCAACACAAGCCTTGACTTATCATTTCTGTAAGCAATTAATTCGGAATTTAATTTATTTAATTAATTTCTGGATTATTTATTTTTATTTTGTTATTTATTTTATTTATACATTTCATTCACACACACCACTGAGATAATAACAATGAGAACCATGGGCTGATTTGCCCCAAACCATGGGCTGGTTTGAAAGCCTTGGCTGGTTTTCTTGTCCTAATAGTGTTGATTGGATAGAACTTTATTTAAAATTTATTTGTTTAATGTGTTGTACTGTTTTAGCCTAACTCTAGACTTATTTAAATATAGTAGATTATGTTGTGAGTTGGTAGTTAGGAGTGTTTCCTTTTTTAATGGTGTGTTGCCTTTTAAGTATGTAATGAATTTCATTATAACATCTAATTTTTTGATATGAAATATGACTTACCTATAAAAAAAATAATAATAATAATAGTGACTGACATACTAAAAAATCTTATTTATGACAGTGATCACATTCACAAATGTTAAAATAAGTGCAACTTGTAAATTAAAAGTATGTGATTTAGGTTTATGCTACAGATACTCCCTTCCCCAACAAGAAAATGAGGACAAAGAAACAAAAGATACCTGTAGTGGAAAGATGCTAGAAGTTAACATTTTTTCCCATTTTTTTGTTTCAAATTTAATTACGTGTTAAAAAAATTAATCAAATTTATTATCATTATTTTATCAGCAGATGATTTATTGATTGCTCTGTGCAATATTTTTGCAATTTCTTGTAAATAGTATTATTTATTTTTAAAAATAATTTTTCATGGGCGATATTAGGCAACAATGGAAGTCCTCTCAAGCTTAACTAAACTTGTATTTTACTGCCAACACTTGAATATGCTCACGTTATTTTACTGCCAACACTCGAATGCTCACGTTGTAAGAGACCAACCACATTGAAAAAAAGGGAAATTTTCCTAGAAGTCTCATCTCATAACAGTATGTACCCGAAAATTTTCTGAATCTTTTTTTTTGGTAAAGATGTGGTTTATGTCCGGTCCGTAATCGGATTAGCTCATATAGTTGGGTTCTGTGGGCCTACCATATGATTGATGATTCGAATCGTTTGATGTGCAGAACTCGTCGATTATTTTATTCTTGAAAAAGATTTAGGTTGATCGAATATTGATAGTCACTTGATTAGATCATATTTCTGTCAATGTTCAGGATGTTTTTTTTAAAAAAAAAATTGTTAATAGAAATATGATATGATCAAGTAGCAATCGATATGCAATCAATATGATTTTTTGTAGGGATGAAGTGCTCAACGAGCCCACGGTTTGAATCATCGATGTGGGTTTTGTGGTGGGCCCACAGAGGCCCAACAGTATGGTCTAGTCTGAAACCGAACTTGAAACAAACCTTACCCTTCTTGTAAACTATCAAGTCTCATTAAATTTGAAAATGTATACCGTGAGATTTTTTTTACTATATTTCCTGAAGACAACAAACGTGGGTATTAGGGGTGCGCGTGGTGCGGTTCAGGCGGTTTGAGAGTAGAATTATAAATCAAATGGTGGATTAGCGGATTGACAAATTGCAGTTTGAGCGATTTTTGGCAGATTGGCAGATTGAAGAATATTCTAACCCATTATCAAGCCTTTGCATAATATATAATAATAATTTGCATAATATTTTTCATATATATAACACAAACTAATTTTACATAATACTTTTCATATATACAAGTTATTTTTTTAATCAGCAAAAAAGGAAGCTTTATTGATGACGAAAACATATATTACATATGAGATTACATCAATGAAGAAGGGAAGTACATAGAGCATCACAACATATAACCCCAATCCCAACTAGGTTGACACCGAGGTGAGAGCTCAATCATCTGCTGGCACAACCACAAAGTTGGTGAGAAACCAACCTAAACCCAAAGAAAAGAAAGAACCAACAAAGTAACCAAACCCCAAGACATAAGCAGACCACAACCACAGCAGCCAAAAGCATCAGCAACCAAATGCATACTGCATCAGATTCAAAACCATAAAAGCCATCAAATCCACCCAAGGATAGCATAGCAGTAAGCACCAACAGCATACTACGACAGATCAAGAAACAGGCCAAAGCCAGACCAAAACAAGGCCAAGACCCAAACACAAATCAAATGTAATCCCATCAGCTTAAAGAATACGAAGTGTTATAGATAATAAAATTATAAATAAAGTGAACATAAAAATAGCAATGAACTAGAATTAAGTAGAATTTATACAAGCGATATATACATACACCTCTTTTTGGTTATATAAAAAAAATTTAAAAAGAAGGTACTACTTAATTTAAAGGAGTCTAGTGCAAAGAGTTCCTCTGGCATCTTGAGTCTGTTGATCTCAAATACAAGAAGGTGCAATATTAAAAACTGAGTTCCTACATCCATTCCAAGTCCGAAATTTTCCAAGGCAACCGCACATTTGTTCGCTTCTCAGAATGATGTTAAGTACCTTGCTTAGTTAAGTACCTGCAATCAAGAATGATGTTACCATACTTGTGGTAAGCTGTATCTTCTGTTTGAACTAGGTTGATGACACTAGCTTAGCATCTACTTCCACCATAAGGTTTCTAAGGTTGAGGTTATTTGCAAGGTTTAGCCCATCTCTTAATGCCCAAATTTTGCAGTGGCTGATGTGATTCTAATGTTTTTGCAGAATTCAATAATCCATTGACTGTGGTGGTCTCTAATGACTCCACCTCTGTTGACCATGCTCTTGTTTCCCTTGGTGGCCCATCTATGTTACGTTTAAAATTGTTTTGAGCAAGTGTTGTCCAACTGATTGATAGAACATCAACACTCCTACCCACAAGTGTGTGCCACTCTAAAAGCTCTAGTGAAGATGAGATGAGGAATGTTTGCTTGATGTGGGAAATGGGAACTCGATGTTGATTCAAAGATCCTTCTATTACAAAGTAGCCAAATGTTCCAACAAGCAATAGCAAAACCGCCCAGACATCTCTATATACATGTATATGAAAATTGCCCAAACAGTTTGACCAAAAGGGTCAGTTTTGGTCAATTTTTTAGAGGCTCACACTCAATACTTTTTAGTTCATAAAGAGGAGAAATTACGTTTCAATGGAATAGTAACTCAAAATAATTATAATTCTCTTTTTTACTGAAGCAATCTGGCAAGTGTATAAACGAGTGAAGCAGGTGGTCAGTTTTGGTCAATTTTTTCGAGGCTCACAGTTGTACTTTTTAGTTCATAAAAAGGAGAAATTACGTTTCAATGGAATAGTACATTAACATAATTACTTGAAACTTAAAATAATTATAATTTTCTCTTTTTCACTGAAGTAACCTGCCAAGTCTATAAACGAGTGAAGCAGAGTCAAGCAGGTTTTAAAGATGTTCAAGCTTGGCTCTTAAAAAATTAGTCAAACTCAACCTTGAACAGAACTCAAATCAAACTTAAAGAATTAAGTTTGAGCTCGGTTTATCTAGTGATCAAGAAACTTGACCTCAACTCAAATCAACTTGATTATATAAATAAACTCGAGCTCCAAAATAAAAAAATAAAAAATCAAACTTAAAATAAAATAAAATAATAAAAACACAATTGATATATTATTAGAAATAAATTTTAATTCATTTATAATTATGTTCACGGCCCTATTCAAGCCAAGTTTGTTTCAAATCAAGCTAGACTCGTTTACCAAATGAGCATAAAATTTGACTCAAACTTGTTTATTAAACCAACAATCTGATCTCAAAGGAGCTTTTGAACAAACCAAACTCAAGTAAAGTTCATTTGCATTCCCAGACCAGAATCTAGAAACTGTAAAGCAAAATTCAGGACATAAAAAAATCTGCATATATAGCCCAACCAAACAGCTTTACATCCAAAAGTATAAATTATCTCTCTCACAATGGAGTTCATGGCATTAGAGTAGATTAAAAAAAGCTAAATACCCTCATTCATCTAGCAACCTGTAATCCAGAGGACAAACCCCTCAGATAATCCTATAAAAGAAACAAAAAGATTTGCCTTGATCAAGAAAGAGAAGGTCCGAGAACCACTAACTGACAATGGTAGAAAAACCATGTCACTCGGGTTCTTTTTCGACCAAAGGCACCTTTACAGGAGCCATAACAAAGCAATGGAAGACAATTAGTAAAACAGCTGTTAAAGAAGCTCAATTTCCATCATCATCATCATCACCCTCGTCATCATCTTCCTCGTCATCATCGTCTTCAGAGCCTTTTTCCTGCCAGAGAGAGCAAGAGATACAGAAATCAAAACAAACAACTTGCATCTGTTGGACCAGCCTTTCAACTAGTTCCACTAGCAACATTCTCTCGCATGGTCCAATTGTTTATTAGGCAGGAGGAAAACACACGCATATAACACAATAAGTGAAACACTACAACATTACATCAAGAGATTTGAAGAATAGAAGCAATAGAAAAATTAAGACAAGCCCAAACAATAGAAGAACTTGTCTGTACAAGCAGTGATGATATAGAACAAATGTAAAGAAGTCTGAATAGTCCAACAAAAAGTATATAAGGAGTTCACTAGAATCTTTGTCTACCTCTTCATCACCTTCTTCCCCATCAAAATCCTCTTCATCAGCCTCCTACACAAAAGTTATTTACAACCATTAGATAATCAGGAAAGTAAGAAATACTTGGAGGCCACAATAGCAACATGATTGTTGTTTTAAGGGAGGTAAACAAAAAGGGGGAAAAAAAGTTACATTGTTGAAATATGTGAGAGGATTGGGCCATAAATCCTCCTTGATTATCTCAGCAACCTGAAAAAAGAGAGAACATATCATTGATATCAATGAAAGATACAGCAAACTGAATTCCTCCTGTGTAAGTATCAAGTTCTCTATACAATTCGTCAAAAGCACAAATTACCTCATCGTGAATCTCATCCATATCATCTTTCTGCTGGGTATCACTGAACCACGTAAAAAAGCTGCATTCGCAGTAGTCAGGAGAATAAGGAACATAACCAACACATCAATGCACCCATTTGAAAATTGCCAACATCAAGTTCATATAAGTTAAGAGCATTGATTTATGTCATTGCTATTGTTAGAATAGTTAGATGTTATTCTGTTAGTTGAGGGTGCTATGGTCATATTGTAATATGTCTTCATATACATATATGTTGCTGGTGTAGGGTTGATTAATAACGCTAAACTAATTAGTCAAAACATCTTTCTCTCTTCCTCTCTAACCCTAACCCTAATATTCAATTATTTTGCATTCTAATTTGGTATCATAGCAACATTCTTGCCTTCTCAAGTGTTCATCAGAATCTAGAGATCATTGTGACGTGACAGCAATGCGCTGACGTCATCATCCGTACGATGACGTAAACGTGACATCATTATCCGTACGGACAAGTTGGGCTCTCAAGGATAGATACTTCCTTCTGAGTTCAATGGTGATTCTTGTAGAATTTTTTGGAGCCATTTGATGTAAGTATTGTATTTTCAAATGATTTTCAAATATTTTGGGTGAAAAATCGTAAATGCTGTTTCTGCTCTCCTTGTGCAAGTTCTACCTAGTGGACTGATCTCTATAGGTATCTCTATAGGTGCCGAAAATTATAGAGGGGGTCTTCCTTGATGTTTGTTTCGAGATTTGGTAGTGTTTTTTTGGATTTTTTGATGTTTTTTTGCCTCTTCCAGTGTTCAGCAACACTGACTTTTATTTTTGGTGTTTTCTGCTGTTATTTTGGCTACTTTGTTGCAGTTACTTTGGCTGTGTGATGTGTTGCTGTTAAGTTTCTCCCTTGTTGCTCTGTGTGTTTCCATGGCTGAAACAAAACCTCCTATGGTTAAAGATGATGAGTTACCTAAGTCTATTACTACCAAGAAACTAAATGGTTTGAATTATCTAGCTTGGGCTCATGCAGTTAAAAATTTTTTGCATGGTAAGAAAAAGTTCCACTTTATTACTCAACTTCCTCCTGTTGCTACTAATAAAGCCCATGATGACTGGTGTAGTAAGGATTCTTTTGTTATGGGATGGCTCTGGCATAGCTTGGAACCTCATGTTGCTACTACTGTGAAATGACACCTCGAAGGAAATTTGGGACTCCTTTGTTTAGTCTTTTTCGAATCAGGCTTCGTGTCTCCCGAGTCTATGAGTCATATGAGTAGATTTTTGCTACTCAACAATCTAGCCGTTCTCTGCCGGATTATTATTTTAAGAACTTGTGTGATCAATTATTAAAACACAGATCTTATACTATTGATGTGGCAAAACAAAAGCGTAATTGGGAAAAGTTTATAATGGCCTCTTTACTCGTGAGCTTAGATTCTGATTTGTGGGGTTTCAAAGATCAAATCCTTTCTAGTGAGTGAGACGTTACCTTCCGTTGCTAATGCCTATTCTTGGTTGTTGCATTCTTCTTTGGGACAAGGTTCAGCTTCATCTGGTTGGTTCTGCCTCTCAAACTTTGTTCTCTTCTACATTGATCTCTAGTAGGGGTAACTGTGGGTCTACCCATGGAAGTTTTCAGGGCCAGTCTAGTCCCTGTGGCTCGCATGCCGGTTTTCATGGCTCCCGCGGGTGGTATTCTTCTCATGGTTCTCATGGCGGTAGTGGGCATTGAAATGGTGATCGAAAGTGTACTCACTGTGGTTCCTTGGATCATTCTGAGCCCTGATGTTGGCAAAAATGTGGTAAACCTAATCATGTGAATCAAGTTATGGATGCTCCATCCTCTCAACTGACATCTTTTCCCTTTAGCACAACTGCTTCCCCAATTGATTCTCATGATGTACTCGCCACTCAAATTACTTAGCGAGCTTACTGGGCTAGTCCAGCCTCTTCGTAGTGCAATCCCTTCATCCTCAATAGCTACATTGGCTAGTTCAGGTAATATTACATGTACGGCTCAATCTCCTCAACCTTGGCTCAGACTCTGGTGCTAGTTCCTATCTCCCTAGTAATTTATCTCTTTTTCATACCCTTCGTCCTATTACCCATAACTATACTAGCTAATGGATCCTTCCGACCTGTTAGTGGCAAGGGTATTCTTCAACCCACTCCATCTCTCTCCTTACCCTCTAGTCTTTATGTTCCCACTTTTCCATGTAATTTACTTTATATTAGTCAATTGCCTAAAGCTCTCCATTGTCCCATAACCTTTCTCCCACTATCCAGAGGATGATTGGTTAGAGGCATGAAAAGGATGGCTTATATTTTCTAGACACTAATAGACCTCCTCGTTCTACTTCTGCTATTTTGAGTGCTACCGTGTCTCCTCTGCAGTGGCATTTTTGCTTGGGTCATCCGTTTTTGGCCAAGCTCAAGTTACCCATCCCGGGCTTGAGTCATGTGTCTAAACTTAAGTGTGATGCTTGTCAGCTTGGAAAGCATCACCGTAGTTCGTTTCCTAGTTGTAGTGTTAGTTGTGTGTCCGCTTCTTTTGATGACCATACAGACATATGGGATCCCTCGGACTCCACTATTAATAGCTAGCTTTATTTTGTTATTTTTGTGGATGATTACTCTCGAATAACTTGGTTATTTTACTAAAGCAACGGTCTGAATTTTCTCAAATAATTTTTAAGTTTCTTTTATATTTTTTGATAAATAATAATTTTTAAGTTTTATAATGAAATCTTTACTCAATTTGGGAAACGTATTAAAATATTTCAGTCTGATAATGCCTTAGAATATATGCAGTCTATTATAGATCTTTTTTGTGTTGATCATGGTATTATTCATCAGACTAATTGTGTTCATACCTTACCCCAAAATGGTGTTGCTGAGCGGAAACACCGCCACTTGTTTGATGTTGCTTGCACATTGTTGTTTAACATGCACATTCCCAAACAATTTTGGGGTGATACTATGCTCACTACTTGCTCTCTTATTAACTGCATGCCCTCGGTTGTGTTACAGAACCAACCTCCCTTCTCTTAGTTATACTCTGACTGTACCCTATTTCCTGTTTCTCCTCGTATTTTTGGTTGTGGCCTTTGTCCATGTCTTGGATCCAGGTCTAGATAAGTTATCTCCTTGTGCTCGCAAGTGTGTTTTTACGTTATTCTCATATTCGAAAAGGTTACCGGTGCTATTACCCTGAGTCATGTCAGTTCTTTGTAAGTGCTAATGTTACCTTTTTTTTGAGTCCACCCCTTTCTTTTCTTCGTCTGGGGAGCAGTTATCAACTAATCTTATATCTTGTCGTGAGGAAAAGCCATCATCTCCCACACTTACTCTTCTGGTGACTTGTGTTTCCTCGTCCTATGTCTCCCCTTCCACTATTGTCAATTCCTCTTCTTCACCTCCATCTCTCCCACTTTATCAGCGGTACCAAGATCGTCACATTGTTTCTTATGGCCCAGCCAGTTCATCTTCTTTGTTAAAGGCTCTTGCACCTCCTACCATTGTGAAATCTAATGATCTTCCCATTGCTTTGCATCGAGGTAAATATGCTTGCACACAACATCCCATTGTCTATTTTGTTTCTTCTTATCGTCTTTCAACTAGTCTTCACTCCTTTGCTTGTAGTTTGTCTTGTCTTTCCATTCCATCTTCTTGTGAGCAAGCTACGTCTATGTCGAGTTGGAAGCATGCTATGGATGAGGAAACGAGTACTCTTCATCAAAATCAGACTTGGGAACTTACCCCTTTGCCTTCTGGGAAACCTATTGTCGGCTGTCGCTGGATCTATACTATCAAATATCTTCCTAATGGTACTATTAAGAGGGTTAAGGCTCGCCTAACGGCTAAAGGCTACACACAAATCTATGGTGTTGATTATCTGAAGAACTTCTCCCTTATGGCTCACCTTAACTCTGTTCAGATTCTACTGTCTATTGTCGTCAGCTAGTCCTGGCATTTATATCAGCTTGATATAAGAATGCCTTTCTTCATAGTGATCTCTACGAGGAGGTCTATATAGATCAGCCGCCTGGCTATGTTCCCGGTAGTGAGAATGTGGTTTGTCGAGTGCGGAAGGCCTTGATGGTCTCAAGCAATCTCCTCGTGCTTGGTTTGATTGCTTCAATACCGTTGTGCTTGCATATGGGTTCTGCCATTCCACTTCTGGGTATTGTTCTCATTGTCTATGTAGATGACATCATCATTTTCTAGTAGTGACTCCACCAATATTGCTGATTTAAAACAATATTTAGGTCAGTACTTTCACACTAAAGACTTGAGTCATCTTCGCTATTTTCTTGAGATTGAGGTTACTCGGTCTTCTCAGGGGTTGTTTCTCTCGCAACGCTAGTATGTGCTTGATCTTCTCTCTAAGATTGGTCTTTTAGATACTCGTCTGAGTGATACTTCTATGGACTAGTGTTAAACTTGATGTTAAAGTTAGGGACTTGTTTTCTAATTTTAGTGCCAATCTATAAGAATAAAAGTGATGTCCAGAATTACAACAACTATAGAGGAATCAAGCTAATGTGTCATATAATGAAAGTGTGGGAGAGGGTGATGGAACGCCGATTACGAGGTATAATAGAGGTGTCAGAAAATCAATTTGGGTTTATGCCTGGCAGGTCAATAATGGCAGCGATCGATCTTTTGAGGAGAGTAATAGAAAAATATAAAAAAAAAGAAAAGAGACATTCAAATGGTGTTTATCGACATTGAAAAAACATATGAGAGTGTCCCAGAATATAATATGGTGGGTATTAGAGAAGAAAGGGGTGGCAAAATGTTACATTGATGTGATTAGGGACATGTATGAAAGGATGATGACCACTATTAGATCGCCAGCTGGAGAGACAAATGAATTTCCTATCACTATAAGGTAACACCAAGGATCTACCTTAAGTCCTTATCTTTTTGCTTTAGTTATGGATGAGTTGACGAGAAATATTCAGGATGACATGCCCTGATGTATGTTTTTTGCAAACGATATTGTGCTAGTGGATGAAACTAGAGAAGGAGTTAACACAAAGTTGGAGATTTGGAGAAAAGCTCTTGAATCTAGAGGAT